TATATATACATAAATATAAAGAAAATAAGCAAAACATATATTTTTAAAGTGACAAATAACAATTATTAAATAAAATGTTTTTAAAAATATTTAAAAATGTAAAAGATATAATTTTTTTTTTGCTTTCTAAAAATATTTTTTTCTTTATTTTCTAAGTATTTCAGTCTCTGTTCTTCATATATTAGCATATACTATGGTTACTATTTTAGTGTATTTTACTATTTCAGTGACAGTAGCTTTGAATGTATTTATAAAGTTTTTTTCTATTAATTAATATGCCTTAAATTCATTTTTGCATCACAACTAAGAATTAAAAACAAAATAAATTATAATATGTATCAAAAGCCTTGTGCTATATCAAATAGTTTATCGAAAAAACAAAAATAATTATTAAGTATTAAAATAAACATTATTAATTCATTAATCAATAGTTCTTGCAAAATACTTTACATTATTATTTCATTATAATTATTGCTAAATACAGTAATAAATATAAAACACTATAATTTAAGTAATATATTTAGATAAATATATTGATAAACTATATTTTTAAAGGAATTCCTAATTATGATAATCAACTCAAACTTTTTCAAACATTTTGTAGTCTATGTTGCTTTGCTTATCATTTCAATTGCAATAGCAAATGATAGAGCCTGAAAAACCTTGAATTCGGCTTCAATTTGTGCGATAAATTTGTTACAATTTTTTTTTGTCTTATATAAATTTTTAGTTGCTAAACTGGATTTTTAGATTTTATTATATTTATTTTTGCATTTAAACTTTTAATAAATATTTTACAATTTAATCTTATCATTTGCAACATTTATTATTTTACTATTCTATTCAAACTATGGTATACTATCTTACTATTCGATTCGAACTCGATAACTAATATAAATAGCTGTCATTATGTTAATATAGGAAATTAATAGTGTTGATATTCCGATAATTTCAATTTTTATTATGGATTAAGAAAAAAAGCTATTCTTGTGGTATGTCCCTCTTCATATCATTTTCTACTGTAAGAGCAATTTTTCGTTTTTATTTCAAGCATCATCAATAACTTTCTGAGGAAGGCTATTCAAATATGTTACGATTCGGAATGCAATTGCCATTTCTGAGTCTTTTCTGTTATTTTTTTAATCTTTTTTTATCCATATCGTTCTAGAATGCATTTCATATTTGTCATGCTGCATTGTATTTCACATTTTGCAATAGTCGTGATGGATTTTCGTTTCTGATTTCATGGAATATTTTGAAATGTTTCGTTTTTTTCAAATTTATTTTTATCTTCAAATTAAAATACATTTTGTTCAACGTTTTTTGTGGGGCAATAATTTTTTATTGTTCGCAAAATGTTAATATTCAAGCTAATTCTGTTCATATTTGGAAGGAAACAAAATAAGATATATATATTTTTTGAAATTTGTATAAATATATGAAGCCATACCTTTTTCTAAAAACTTAATAAATGTGGTTTCATTTAATCAAAATTCCAAATTTTACAAGTCTGCTCACACCAACTTTAATATACTTCTTTAAATATTTTTTGATAGCAAGGTACAAAAGACCTTGGACAAATATCTTAGAAATTGTGTATACAATTTTACATTTGCCAATTACTTCTTATTGTACTTATTACTGAAACCAACAATTTTTATATGAATAGAGGTTGCCTTTTTGATTATTTTCAGAGAAAAAACTTACCTTATATTTGTAATTATCGAAATTATCGAATAAAATTTTTTTTTATTTTTATTTATTTGTTATTTTTTACTTTAAATATTTTATGACATGTTCAATAATATTTAAGAATATATGACTTAATATTTAATCATTATGTCCTAAATTTTAAAAGCGTCTCGTAATAAATAAAAAGCCTTGCAATTTTAATCTAAGAATTTTCAGGTACTGTATGCTGGTTGAATAGGTCACGCTTTTTTCGAAATTTTTTTTTAAAGAAACTGACTTTAGTTAGCTGATAAAAAAATTTTATAGTTATAGTGCACATCTTTTGAAAAATAATCTCGAAGCTAACAAAATGTACGTCAATTTTTATTGGAATAGATTAAATTCCCTGGTTAAAATTTTAGCGGATTAACGTGAAACCTACACTGTAAAGAAATTGAGCAAAAATGTATCAAAATAGCTCCGAAATAAATAATCGTTGAATTTCAATACCCTATCAATTAAAAATTGAAACAGTATAGACTCATTTGTGAGCAAAATGCATAGTCTCTAAAGTGGTGGAGGAAATACGTCGCTGCTTGATTCGAAAGAAGATCCTCCAGGTTCGTAGTAAGATGCTCTCGCCATAATAGTTGTACAGCCAAGTGCAGAGGAAGCCTCTTTTAGTGGCCTTCAAATTGACACTTCATTTCATACAGATTTCCAATTACCTTGGAAGTAAGCCTTAAAAACTTTTAATACCTTAAAAACTTTTAAACAAATTAAATGCATGCGTTAATGCGGCATTTATAGTTTCCAGTGGTTAGGAAATCCTTCTACGAACTCAGATTTCTCCCTTCATATCATTTTTGAGCATTTCCCTTTGAGTATATGACGTTTTTGACTACTATTTACATCGGAGCTATATTATTTTTTACAGTGTATTTCTAAATCAATTTTATTTTTACTTGGTTACTTTGTACGGCTAATCTACAAGGCTTACACAGGAAACAACGGATGGATGCTTTAAAAACTCTTTGATATACCAGCATTTAAGAGCATAAAAATTACAAATTTGTGTGATTTTCTTATTCTTGATACGCCATGGAATAAAAATGATATAAATCATGTTGTACAAATACATGTTGCATACATGTACATGTTGCAAATCTCTAAAAAATAGTTTTTAAACATCAGTAGATTCAACTGTACATAAACAGGGTTTGTACAAATAATTGTACAAAAACTGTACAACTTCTAACATTTGAACTTACGGAATCAGCAGAAGTTAGTTTTAAGCAACTTGTGGAATTGAAGACAATTTTGAGGTAATTAATGCCGGAGTCAGAAAGATTTGTTCGATTACCTCTCGGGTTAGGTAAGTCCTACAAATTGAAAAGAGAACAGAAATCTCATAAATATTTATAATAATGCAAACTATTACAAAAATGTAATACAAAGCTATAACTATAATATATTACATATTTAATGAAAAAGTTAAAAATATCTTAGTATTCGGATTTTTAAAAAAAGTCAAGTTTAGAGTCCTCAGAAACGAGGGGAGTTGGATGCTTCGCCCCATCGCACAGTGGGCC